AAAGCAAAATTCATCGAAGGGAAAAAGAGAAATAGCTAAAAGCGTGCTCGAAGCTGTTATTTGATGATGCAAACTATGACCTTGAAAGTAACGATTCAAGGAACGTTTTGAGCCGATTTCGTTTAAAATTGTGTGATTTTTCCACAAATTATATTTAATATTGTCCCATACGCTCAATACTCTCTACCTAGCAAGCCTTTTTAATGTGTTTCTTTAAAATCCATAGCTTCCAGCTCCCGCAAAATGTACCGTGAACCAATGAAATGAGGCGCGTGATAAGTGCCAGTACAGGCATAAATAGGGTGAGATTGGACCATCATATCTCTTGCAAGCATGATGACCGTGAGATCCCCTTAAAGTCCTCCACTAAGTGACGTCACGGCGATAAATGATTGACTGGTCTCTTAAAAAGCATCACAAATGTCCATGCCTCATGAATCATCACCTGCTTCCAGAACATAAATCAATTCTTAAAAACATTTAAAAATGTTTTCACGAATTCACCCTCCATCAATATCTGTGATATCATTTGGGACATGACACAACATTACAAAAATAGACAACACCATCCCTCCTGGAAGAAGATTTTGTTTTTCCATGCCTTGGGTATTATCTTCATTGCTTTCACCCATGGCATGCGAGTGAAAATATTTTAAAAACTGCTCCAGTATGTTACTACCCTAATTATTTTAAGACTGGAGATTTCTTGCCTAAACGTGTTACTTGCACTATCTATCATCACAGTCATTATCTTAGTCGGTTCCCAGGTGTTTTAGGGATGCTGCGAAACGCTCAAGCCATCATCAGCTGCTTTAAGTGATGTAGCGACCGACACACACTTTATTGTACTCCAAACATTATCCAAGTAATTGAGAAATCCCACCTCCCTTAAATGATTATCACGCTCAAAATGAATAAAATAAAGGTAAATGTAATGTTTGTAGCGGTGGTAAAATGCGATTTTAATCCTGTAATCTATTGAACAGAAGAACGTCAACAGAAAATCTATTTGTCAAATAGAACATCGCCGAGAAAAAGATACCGGTGGTGGTTCTAGAGCATAGCTCAGCGTACATATATTTTCCAGAAATCGCCAGAAGATAGCCAGGGTATTTCAAATCCGTTATCATCGCATAACAGCAGCCCTTCGATCAGGCTGATGTGCCAGTAAGAGGTATTCCCAATAAATGCCACGAAACTGTTCAACCTTCCATCGTCGACGTCAGTGGTGGTGGGGTAGTGTCCCCATGTCCCTACTTGTCGCTGTGTATCGTCATTTCCCCAGTCATTGCAGTGACTTGTTAAAATAGAATTATCGTCCCTCATTACTTCGAATGAGTTACATGACAGGGGAAGTTCGTTGGTCTGGCCACAGAAGTATTCGACAACAGCCCAGCCAGTTTTGTCAATGGCTGTTGTCACGTGGAAGGTACGTTTCATTTGTTTTCTGCAGTGGAACCTGAGCTGGGTTACTTGAAGGACCTTGCACAGCTCATACATGGCGCTATTCGTTAAAACCATAACGTTGTTTTTGTAGTTCCCTATTCCTCGGTACGAATTGTGGGAGGTGAAACTCAAATTGAAGGTCGTAGTGGGGATCTCAATGTTTGAGATCAAAACCCAGCCTCCTGAAATATAGAAAATCTAATTGGTCACCCTCTCGAACTTAAGCAAACATATCTGCGCTCCATGCATATAATTAAAGAGACCAGGATTCCTCAAATCAAGTAATGATGGAAATAACTCTTAAACGTGACTACTTTGTCATTACAATCCTCTTTAGACATTTTTCGCGTCCTGAATAACGTCCAGCCATATTACACGATTTTTTAGTACACTATACTCAGAGGATAATCATTGAAACTGATATTATCCTATATGTGTACTGCGGGGAAGAAATGAGATATAAACGATCCTCGAAGCTATGAACACTACTGAACTAGTAGTTGAAATGAGACCTGAAAAAAAATTCAGGCCCGGATTTGAACTCATGACCTCTGCGATACCGGTGCAGCGCTATACCAACTGAGCTAACAAGCCAAC